TGTCTTTATAAGTTTTCTTGGGGAGAAAACGCTTTTGGCTTACATGAAACTTTTCATTGATTTTTATAAAGAGCGCTCTGTACGGCTGCAGTTACTGAGGCTAGGAAAGAAGTGCTCGTGTTTTATACTTTGTCTTCTTGTGTTTGAAAAATCTCTTGGATATTGTGAGTTCTGCCATAAGCCAAACATTTATTCTCAGGAATGTCCACTCAGTATGAAGCTGTGTCGGGGGGATTCTGCGTCTGTGGGCCTCAAATATATATTTTTTCTTGAAGTGTGGATGTAACATTAGGCCTTGCATCTGATATTTCCCTTCCCTTTCTTTCCACTACCTTAAATGAGGTCATGCCACCCTTAGCACAGAAGTACTGGAAATGAATGATTTTTGCAGGACAGATTACGAATGCATAATTTGGGGTGTTCGACACAGGGGCAAGATGAAGCTCTTGAAAACACGATCCTATGCATGTTTAGTCAGGAAATTTCCCAGCAGTATATCTTATGGAGTACTCAGGCAGGCTGGTGGTCAAACATCTTACCTTTCTCCCAGCGCCCCCTTCCACGGCGCTCCCCGGCCACGACTGCAGGAGCCATCCGGTAGCCAGCCGCTGCTGCTGCTTTTATGCCAAGCATGGCTCCTTGCTCCTGGTAGATCTATCCAAGTGAGCAGCCAGGGGGTGTAGTGGTTGAGAGCCTTTGGCCAGGAGTCAGGAGATCTCCACTCGATCAGGAATCTCACTGGGTGACCCTGGGCTGATGCTCAGTCCAACCTGCCTCATAAGATCATCGTCGTGCATGTGAAGCGGAGAACTTTGTTAGCACCTTGAGTCCCTTGCAAGAGGAAGAAAGGAGAAGAGGCAAACGCCGTGCGATCCTGGTGCTGGAGAGAACAGACAGAGCTTCTGAGAAGCATCAAGCGCTCCTTGCCACTTTGTGGAGAAGAGGCCTTTTGCAGCGGAGGTCCATTCATTATAAAAGGAGACTTTACGTTTCGATCAGAGGCCAAACGGAAATGTCCCGGGGCCAGACTGAAGCTTTCTTTGTGTACTGGGCATTACATCGAACATTTCTTCACCTAGCAGGCAACCAGTTAGCTCTGCCTTGGACACTCGCTTGGCATTTTGCCTGCAAGAAAAGCAGTCTGCTCTGTTGCATTTCCTTCTCCCCTTGTTGGGTTCACGGAGCAACTTCCAGCGATCGCCAGGCACACGAGAGATCGTGATTGTCTTTTGACTGCAGCCACTGTGTCTGTGGCTTCCCGGGTCTCCGTGCAGGTCGTGTGCCACCAGTCATCCAGCAGGTTTTTCAAGGAGGAAACTTCCCGCATTCCAGATACAACCTGTGTCAGCCAGCCCCTCTGAGACCGTACCAACCCTCTCCTCTAATGATGAAAACCTGCCCTCTGGTCTGAGCACTTAGCTGGACGCCCCTTCTCTGTGCGTGCCGATTCCTCTGCATTTGCTTCCCCATTAGAAATAAAATAGTATTCAAATAAGTCATCAGCATTCACTGTCTCCTCTAGAAACACTAAGCTCCTTACTGCTTTTTCCTCTGCGTGTCATTGGCGCTATTTCCTCTGCGCCCTCTCCAAGTGGCTTAGTATTGCGCGCACCGTCTTCCCCCAACCCCAATTAACCCTCACGGCGACCCTGGCAAAACCCGGTTAAGATAAGAGATACTGACCGAACCAAGGGCAGCCAGTGGGCTATTTAATCTGCAGTGAGCAGCAGCAGCAGCAGCAGCCGCACCCACCAGCCAGGCGGGGCTGCTGTTTCCAGTAAATGGCTCCCCACCGGGGCAACCAGGGGTTGAAGTGTGTTGTTATTTGGGGGTTAAGCCATCCCTGCGTCACCACAGAGGCTTAGCATTCAAATGTCGGTAGCATGTGCGCAGCACGTGCGGCAGCTGGCGGTGAGCCAACTCTGCCCCGATCCTGGCCTTTTGCCTCCCCACATTGGGCCAGGCTCAGCCCCGAGGACCTGCCTGGCTGTGCTTAACTCGATGGGCAGCAGCTTCAGGGCCTCTGCTCCGCTTTTCCCTCCTTATGGCTCCTTATCTTTAAGCCAGACTTGAACCCTTCCAATAAGAGGACTGTCCCTTGCCAGATAAGATGCTGGCCACCCTAGAAGCTTCCTTGCCCTACTTCCTGCCAGAGAGAACCTCCTCCTTCATCTGCATGTTGCCCTGAGCCTGCAGGACAGAAGAGGAGAGAAGTCTCTGCCCTCCAACTCAGCCTGTGTGTTTCTCTGTGCATTCTTGCAATCTGCTGGAAGGTTACTTGAAAAAGGCAGGGGATGCCTTCCAAAGATGTACAGAGGCCTGCTGCAGATGGTGCTGGTGAGGGAAAAGGGGAGGGCTGAAAGAGCCAGAGGGAGCCCCGACCCTGACCCTAAGCCACTGCAGTCTGGACTGGCAAGCACCCATTACCAGACTGAAAACGCTTTCTCTTCTCCAGCCACAGGCAGCCTCACAGGTTTGCCCCAGAGAGGCAAAGAGCAGAGTCACACACGAGTGTATCCGCAGAAAAGAGCTTCCAGTTCCTGCGAACACCTGTAGGAAACAGCTTTCTGTCAGTTCCGTGCTGGAGACTCAAGCTGCATGTCACTTTACCTGTTTCCTCCACTGAGGAAAGGGGCACTGCAGAACTGTTTCCCTCTATCGCTGCTGCAATATGCTTGCGATGGGCATTTCTATTTCTGTGAATTTCTGCTCCACCGTATCCGTCACGCTCCTTTCCGATCCTGGTCTTCCTTGCATTCTTCGTCACCTCTTGCTTAAGTACAGCCAGCACTTCTCCCCTAACTGTGGCATGTGAAAAGAAATGCTTTAAATCCATATTAGCATTCTGACCCCGCTGGCACGGTTCTTGGAGATGTGGTTTGCTGAGCTGGCTCCTGGCCACTTACATTGGCTAATTAATACAAAGCACTGCATAGTCTCTGCGCTGCTTAGCCAGCAGGGATGTCTAAAGCTCCTTGGTTATTTGCCTTGTGTTCCATTTCAAATCTTTGTGCTGAAACATGATTCACCAAAACCCTTCAATCCTGGAAATCGATACAAGCTGGTTTCACTCTGCAAAGTGAAGGATAACAGTAGATGCAAATTCCAGGCATTGGAGCAGCCTCCGAAGAAGCTGAGTTTCTGTAGAAATAAACAAACACAACACCCTAAGGTTCTAGTCCCCATGGCTAAAATTAATGCAGGCATTTTCTCCAAAAGGGGAGCCTTATACTTACCTTGACACCCCGTGCTTTTCTGTGAGTCCTGTGCTGCATTTAGCCAGATCCCTGGTAAATAATGTAATCACGGAATTTGTGAAAACAAACTTTCACGTGACTTCCTTGTGATGGAGTCCTTGCAAAATAATAGGAGCGTGACATTTTAAATTCTGCAGATAGGAGATCCAACTGCTCCACTTGTGTGATGCGTGCAAATGACATCATCTCCATTGTAATGGTTTGCATAGATTTCCCAAAGTCAGAACATTGTAGTTGTAAAATCGGAGATGTGGCCAAAGAGTGGCTTCACAAAACAGTACAGGATGTTGATGAAAGTAACTCAGACAATGGAGAAGAAACAAAACATTCATCTTGCTATTGAAGATGACTGTATGTGGCTAGTCATACAGAACTGGCGCCTTGGACTTTTGAGCAGTAAGCATAGTTCTTCCCTGGAGAGCCTTCCAAACAAATCCCAAGGCCCTGTTCTGTTCCATATTACCAAGGATACCCGGACACCAAGGCACGGGTCTGTTCACATTTAAAGTTATTTGGCCTTTCCGCTGTCACGACTGATGTTGCAGGTTATTAATTCATTTCAATCAAATTCTTTTTGCCCTGAACTTCAGCTGGAAAGGGCTCCCAGAGCAGCTTCCGAAGATTAATAACAAAATAGCCACGGTTCTCAGGCTTACAATCTAAAAGATATCACACAGAACGAAAGGGAATGGGGATGAAGGGGGGAAAGAACGAGCACAAGCATCCATTCTTTCTTACCGAGGTCTTCTAGGTGCTCTTTCTGGCAGGGGAAGATGAAGCAAGCTCTCAGCGGCTCTTCCTTTGTAAATCCAGAGCTCACACTGGCAGCGTGCCTCTGATTTACTGATGGAGCTGCCACTTGGTGCGCTTCGACTATTGCCAAGCCGTGCATTGATGAACGGCTTGAATGAGACAGTGCCAGGCGTTCAGGATCAGGCTGCTGCTCGTTCAGTCTCGCTTGGCAAAAACCGCTTGCTTGCTCGAATGGTGGGTGGAATCCCTGCTCTTTTGAGGACCACTTGCCCTCAGACCACATATGCCTGGAGGAGAGATTTTCTGCAGATGTTCTCCTGTCTGTGGAGCTTAGGTGGATGATGACCAGTTTTTGGTCGGGGTGGCCAGCTTTTCAATGTCCTGCTCAGGACCACTGCACAGACTCCATTTCTCTGGAATTTTAGGCACCGGTTTTAAGCAGCTTGATGTGACCAAGTCTTGCCAATGACCTGGTTTGTTCTGTTTTTCTCTGCGGCTTCCCTTGTTGCTCTGTTGCAATACTTGGCTTATACCATTAATTATAACGGTGTGGATGATTAGCTTAATTTGTAGTCTTGTAACCCACTATGAAATTGAAAAGCTAGAGAGAACAATTTCAAATAGCATTCAAATAAATAAATAGTTTTGATTGCAGCCCTGGGACCAGGCATATAGGAAAAATGATTATTCCTGACTACAGAGGAAGGGAAAATTGAAATAGAAGTAAAGTGTTGTTGATGTTGAAACAGAATAAAGTGCTACTATATTTCTTTTTTGATTATATATGGCCCCACCATGGAGCATGGCCTTTGCAGAGAACAAGAGGAGAGTTCCCTGCCCTGAGGAGCCTACACATTATAATTTGGCACAAGGCCAGTGGGGACAGAGGGAAGGGTGGACGAGAAGAAAACATGCAGGTGTCCCTAAGCCGCACGCACATCCTAAGCCGCACTTCCCGTGCCTGAAAACAGCTTCTTGTTCTTTCCACAGGTTGGTGTGATAGGAGAGGAGGAAGAGTGGGTGACTTTGTGTGAAGTGGAGAAAGAGTCGGACGCTCAGCTACTGGAGATCCCAAACCTCACACCTTACACTCATTACAGGTGAGAACAGCTGCCAATTAATGGCTGCATCTACAGGCAAGCCAGCGGCCACCAGAGGCGCTTCTGGCCCTCACCGGCAGCCGGTGGGAGGACTGGAGGAGGACAATTTATACCTCAAAAGAGTTTGCACTTAAACGACCCCGTATGATGTATTTTAATTGTCACCTCCGCATACTAAAATAATTAGTCAATCTGGAAAGTGGAGCAGGGGGCAAAGAGCACTGGCAAACGGTACTGCTGAATAACTTAACACATCCTGACATGGCGAGTTTGTCTGGATTGAAAAGTTGCACCGGTTTAATTAAAATTGATCTTGCTTCATTTGTGGGAAAACTGCACTGCAATGGGCTGAATGCTCCTTAGATCACACTGCCTTCCTTCTGTAAGGCAAGTCCATACATTTCCGTCCCTTCGTACCATCCTCTCCATTACTCTTAGAGGAACTCCCATGATGTAGCGGGATTAAACCGGGCTCTGGCAGACATCCAGTGCCCGGGGTGTTGGGTAACCTGTTTCTGGTTTATCTGCGATATGGTGCTGCCTCTTCTGCCCCACCTTGGTAAATTATGCTGTTTGCATCTTGTTGTTGTAATAATAATAATAATAATAATAATAATAATAATAATAATAATAATAATAAAAAATAGCAAGGCCGGCGCTGCTGCTTTAAAGTCCCTGGTGGGGCTGCCCGGCCAGTGTGGGTTTGGGTGGGTGGGAAATTGTTCTGATGAACATGACAAATGGCCTCATCCACCCCAGGTCATTCCGACCATTTCTATGGCCATCTAACTCAATATTCTGTGCCCCGTGGTTACATTTTAAATCAGGGGTGCTGAATCTCTGGCCAAATCATGCCCCTCCCACCGAGTTCTCTGTTCCTTGCCCACTGATCCATCCGGTGCTTTCCTGGCTTGCTGTGCAGTTTCTCCCATTCAGGAAGGGTGAAATGGCTCCCCGAAGGCTGCAGCAAGCGCTTTCAACTTGAAACTGACGTTGAATCCGGGCAGTTGCAGCTATAAGGGTCCAAATCCAAGCTTAGAAGGGTGTTAACTGGTTCTAGACTGGGTTGCACTCCCTCTGAAAGACTGCGTCTGTGGACTGGGGGTGCCGCTTGACCTGGCCCTTCAGACGTCAGTTTGGGTGGAGGCCGTGGTCCAGAGCATCTGCTATCGACTTCTGCTGATTCTCCAACTGCGTTCCTTCCTGGAGGAGAATGACCTAGAAACTGCAGCGCACACCCCGCTCACTCCTAGGCTCAGTTCCTGCAATGGGCTACCCGTGTGCCTGCTCCGGAAACTGCGGCTCGGACAAAACATGGCAGCCAAGTTGGTCGCTGGGGCATCGCTCGAGGTGCCACGTATCACCAGTGCTGACACCTCTGCACTGGCTGCCAAAACATTTCTAGCTGCAGTACATAGTGTTGGTAATTCCCTTTAATACCTTCATGGCTCAGGTCTAAAATACCTTCAGGAGCACCTTTGTCCAGATATTCTGCTTCACCTGCTAAGTTCCTCTGGGGATAATCTCCTAAAGATTGCCTCTGTAAGATTAATATCAACTACCCAACGGATTTTCCAGTGGTTGCCCATCAACTCTGGAATGGCCAGCCAAGAAAGATGTGCCTGATATCCCAGACTGCTACTGTTCAAGGCATATTCTTTGGGCAGGCCTTCCTAGATTAGTTCCCAGGTTCGTTTTATTTACTCTGCTTGTTTTTAGTTGCCATTTTGATCATGACTGGTCTTAATCTCTTGTAAACTGCCCAATGTTTCGGGAATGGGGTGGTATATAAAAATTAAAACTAATTTAATTTTAAAAGAAAAATTAAAACTAAATATGCAGGTACTTCTGACATGTGGACTCCATCCCTTTTATACTTCCACCACTGGAATTAAGCCCTCAAAATCCTCTTTGGAATGGAGTTCAGCCCTCCAGCTGAAAGAGGCTCTGCACCGGTGCTTTAAGGCCCTTTTTTCCTTCTGATCTTAAAAAAAAAAAAATCAAGCCGCAGTACCATCTTGGAGCGACCTAGCAGGATGTGTGCAAGCACAACCAGATGGCTGCTAACGTTTCCCCCTGTTCATACTTCTCCAGCACTGGTTTAATGTGCCCCTCTTGAGAAGACGTCTGAAGGCAGTCCCTTCAAAAAGGGAGGAATGGGGGCAAAGATCTGTAATGTGCTGCACTCACTGTGTGTGCCCTTCACAACGTGGCAGAGCTGCCTGGGAGTGTTTAGCAATCCTTGAGTCACAGAGGTGTTCGTGGCGATCGCTCTGCGAGCTAAGTGGCTGTGATTCACACAATAGGCACAGCACCCGCTGGACGAGATTCTGTTGTTTACCCGACTGCCTCGCTGCAGCACACATCTTCCCGATGAAACTGAGAATAAGTCCTGAGTCCTACTCGGCAGAGGAGAATAATAGAGATGGCAAGAGAGGCCCTCCCCGCAGTGAATGAGGAGACTAAGGAAGGTCTGAGGAAAGCAGCTGTCGGTCTAACAAGCAGTGCGCTTCAGCTTCCCCGAGTGCTTGAAGAGTCCCTCCTTTCCTCCACGTATGTAGCTCTCCACCAGGAAGGGTCTGCAGGATGACCGTCTGCGCTAGGCTACGTCACTCCAGCCTGTCCGTCGGTTCAGATAACCATCTGCTGCACTTATCGACTCCATCTATGCCTCCTTGTGATGGCAGCTTGAATTCTTGGTTTGGCTGGAGATAGCCAAGGAATGCAGCAGCAGCCCATCTCGCTCAGCTTGGCGCTGGTGTTCAGTTGCCTTCTGCATGTGATCGCACTGCAGCGCTTCAGTGAGGTGGTGCTTCCGGCCTGTCCGTCATGCTGGGTCCTGAAGACTCTGTGAAGATGCCCATGGTGGGCTGCTGAAAGACATCAGCTGTCCAGAAATTTCCTTCTGCTCCTCTCTATTTGTAGAAGTGGGTATCTTATAAGCCCTTCCATAATATGGGCAAATAACCAGGAGGACTCCTTCCCTCTGTGATGCTTCAGTGAATTGCTCTCTGAGCGGAAATGTGTGCATGTGCTTCCGCTCCTTCAGAGCCCTCAGAAACCACGGTGTCCGTAAGACGAGGTGCTGAGATGCATCTCCTAGGTACTTGGACGTATCAGCTCAATCATGTCCGTCGGAGTTGACACGGCATCCCTGCGTGACGAGCAGGAGGCAGGGCGGGGGAATATAAAGCACTGATTATTTGAGTTAGATGGCATCTTTGTCAAGTGTGCGTCTTTTCTTCTATGTGCTGTCAGTGTTTGGGGAAATTAATGGGTTTGTTTTGCTTAATGCATTTTCCTTTAATGCACTTCCTTAACGAGATCTGAGCAGATAGACTAATGGCATTACATAAGCTCACTCAACCTTCCCTCAGTCCCAAACCTTTTATTGCCAGAAATCTAGTGTTTAGCAGAAGCAAGTTGAGCAGCTAACTTGTTAGCACAAGAAAGCTTTAACGACAAGCCTCTGCTTTGCATATCAGGGTGACGAGCCTCTCTGGTCATTAGCGTGTGATGCCTGCTACACCATCCTCTCTCTCTCCCTGAACTGGAAGGCACTTTCTCCAAACTGTTGTCATCAAGGGGACTCTATGCAAAGGAGATGAGTTGGAACAAATAGGACTCAATTTTATTTGAGTGCTCATATTTATAAACCTTCCATCCTTGCACCAAGAAAGAAGTTGTTTGTTCTTTGCCAATCATCTTTGAGCTGATTGCTCAGGAAAGGTTTGATAATGGATACAAACCCAGAAAAAGTTAACTGTGCCTAATGAGACTTAAAAATGCAGTTAACTCTTTCCCCGGCGAACCTCATATATATAGGAGAGAACAATGCTGGCAAAGAGCAGGATTGCAGTCCGTAATTGGTTTCATCAGCCGGGGATGGCCAGTGTTAGTCCAGCAGCGTGAGAACTAAGGGCGCACTTGTTCACCTTTAGAACTTGTTTTGGTCCTTCCGTAAAAATAATGAAATCGTAATGAATGAAAAGGAATGTATTAAAGGAAGCGTCTCCTCCTGGCAAGGAGCATCTTTTGTTGAAGTGCAAGGGGCTGGTATGAAATTGCGAGAGATCTTCATCAGCCACATTTGTATCTTCTATTTTTACAGCATAACACAAGGTGGCTAAGAAAAATACTGGTACAATAAAAATCTTTCACGGAGCATTAAGCTTTCTCTCAGCATCTCAAAAAGCTAGTTACGTGTGTGTGTGTGTGTGTGTGTGTGTGTGTGTGTGTGTGTGTGTGTTAATCACCAGACTGATGAATGAAAAGACATTCTTCACCCAGTGCATAGTTCACTGGGTGAACCAGCCATGGATTTTGCTGGTGGTCCCATCCTAGCTGTTTTCAAAAGGGGATTGTGCAGGATTGCACTATGGATGGCTGCTGGTCATGATGGTGATCATTGGCCTCGAAGATCGGAGGCAGGTGGCCTCTCCCCAGCACCAGTGGCAGGGACCCATTGCCTTGGTGTGCTGCTTGAGGCCTTCCTGGGAACATCCCACTGGTCGCTGTGGGAACCACAGCGCTGAACCAGGTAGCTGGGCTCCCCTTAACTTTTCTTCCTTTACTTCTTTACTTCAAGCATTTGTTGCCCACATTTCAGGCCAAGGGCAGCTTCTGGAGCAGCTTATAAAAGGCAACAAGAAGCTTAGGTTCATAATCTGCAGGGGCAGGAGGAGAAAAAGAAGAAAAAAAGACACAAGAAAAAGGAATTAGGAGCAGGGAGGAAAGTGCAGCACTTGGCGCTAGTTCTTAGATACAGAGGCAAAGTCTGGAAACAAACACAACAAACCCCATAGCAGTTCATTGGGATAATTTCCGTATGGGTGACAGTTGGCCTCCCATGGGGAAGGGGCAGCCCAGCCAGAGGCGGCTTGGACATTTCTGTCTCCTGCCCTTTCCACTCTTCCATTCCTTCCCACCAAGCAAATTGCAGGGAGTTGGCTCACTGCTCTGTCCTCCGTCCCCTGGCAAAATTACTGTTTTGGCTTATGCTCTTGGTGGACCATCATGGCTGTTATCCCCGTCTGAGTCAGCAAAGCAAAAGCAGAGTCTTTCGTAACGTGTTGCCCGGGAAGTCCTGCCACGGCAGTGGCGCTCAGCTGCCATTTATCACGGGCGGAACCTCACGCTCGGCACAGTTTTGCAAGTCGCGCCATCGGGCTGGAGCGGCGCGTGATTCTGTACTTGGGCACACGTGTCCCTCTTGACCTCTCTTTGCTCCCTCCTCTGCCCTTCAGGTTCAGGATGAGGCAGGTGAACATCGTTGGCCAAAGTCCACTCAGCCAGCCGTCTCGTGTCATCCAGACGCTGCAGGCGCCGCCCGACGTGGCACCAGGGAGCGTGACGGTGCGGACTGCGAGTGAGACGAGCCTGTGGGTCCGCTGGGTGGTAAGTCACTGGCAACTGGGAGCCACTGGGAACACTGTGATTTTGCCCTAGCCAAGGCATCCAGGATCCACAAATGTCTTCCGTGCAGCAAAACCAGTATCCTCCCCAGCTGGTTTATACCCCAATACTTGGGGTCCCCACAATCTCCTATCAGTGCTGGGGCAAGTTATGGGCTAAGCGATGTATTTCTGGCTGCATTGTGGAAAAATGCATGTTCAGACACGGACCAGCTACTGAAACCCTCGCAAGCTATTTTCACAGTGATGAGATCAGGACCGTTCATGCGCCACTGGCTTGTTTCTGGCCACCCAGTTCTATAAAAAGGTCATGAAATTCAGCTCATTGAAAGTCCTTTCGTTCGAAGTTATTAAAAGTGCTTCTAGGGACAGGAAGACGGGAGAAAGTCCTCCATCTCTCAACATCACGCAGCCAACATGGCTGGCCGGGGAATGATGGGACGGAAGGACTTTTCCCTGCCTAAACATGTATAAAAGTTTTCACCTGCAAAGGAATTTTTTTCCCTTCACCTAGGAAGATACTGCCAACCTGGAGGTTATATCCACAAGACTGATTACAAAGCTAAGTGATTAACTCTGTAATGAGGTGATAAATTGCAGGGCCACTGATAAATGAGTTGATCATGTTCCTTTGACTTCTGTCCCCACCCCATCTGACTGGAATTCATCCAGATACTACATTTCCTTCAACATTCCACATCAAGCCGCCTTCCCAATGACATTTCTTGCCAATCCTCTCCATAAAACCCCTAATATGACTGCAGATTTCCCTGGGTAAAATCTAATCAGCCATAGCTCTCTCTCCTAGGAAGGAAGGAAGGAAGGAAGGAAGGAAGGAAGGAAGGAAGGAAGGACAAAAGACAGACAGACAGACAGACAGACAGACAGACATGTTTTCCAAATGTCCAGTCCTGCAGTGAATTCTCCAAATCATCAGGGCATTCCTGGAATAACAAGGGACTAATTTCTTCTCTAGCTTGGCATATGCTGTGAGCATCTGCCCTTCCAGGAAAAACAAAACACAAATCCCATCAGATGCACCCATATCCCCTTGTGTGTGCTTAAAGCAGCTCTCTGGATCCCAGTCAAAGAGGCGGGATGTTGCTATCTGTGGAAAATGGATTAATAGGCAGCGAGCCAGTGAGGCAGCCAAAGATGAAAGGCGTGTACCATGTGGCTTTGCAATTAACTGCATTAATAGTGTTGCTACCCCAGCGAGGTGCGTTTGTGCGACTTTAATAATAATTCTCAAAGAACCCTCTACTCTGGAGGTTCTGACACCCATAAATTAAGGTCTAATTCATTGCTATGGAAGACTTTGTGCTTGCTGTGTTCAAAGCAAAGCCAGATGTACTTATCTGCAACACACACACCAGTTGCGGTGAAGTTGTGTGCATAACTGGCTTTAGACGGAGGACTTGCTCGGCCGCCCGACCTCCATTTTGTCCCCATTGCATAAGGGCTGAATATGGGCCTTTCTCCCGTCTTACACTGGCATGTTTCCCCGGGCACTTCTGTGTCAAGAGCAGGGCCAGAAGGCAAGCTGGCAACAAGCTCACGTTTACCTTGAGGGACCTGGAGTGTCAACGGAAAGGGAAAGCAGCGTTGTTGCCGAGATGGTGAAGATGTGGTGGTGGTGGTGGAAAAGCCCACAAAACATGCCTTAAGCATCACAGGCGACGCTTCTACTCATGGCTAACCTTTTCTCTGTGCCCAGCCTCTGCCGGACACGCAGTACAATGGGAACCCCGAGTCAGTCGGCTACAGGATCAAATACTGGTCTTTGGACACGCAGTCCCCTGTGCTGACCAAGGTCATCAGTGACCGGCTGGAGAGAGAGCACACGATTGAAGATCTGGAGGAGTGGACAGAGTACGAGCTGCAAATCCAGGCCTTCAACGCCATTGGGGCAGGGCCCTGGAGCGAGGTCGTGCGAGGTCGTACCCGCGAGTCAGGTAACCTGTAGGAAAGGAATGCGTGGGGTTGCTTTCTCTCGTCCTCTTTTCTCTTCCTTTCCCTTCCCTTCTGATAGTCTCTGACCCTGGCGTAAGCTGACGCATTTGGGGGCAGGCTGCACAGATCGAATGCGTTCCTTTGGCACTCAGAGGAGCAAGCTCAGACTTTGCACTGGAGTGCAATCGGAACGTCTTGTTCATGGTTCCAAGGTAGTATCTCTGGTGCTGACAGTTACTTGAAACCCTTGAAAACATATGAGCAATGGGGGTTAGGCAGCTCGTGACGTTTTTCTTACTGCTGTTGCTTATTGGGAGCTATGCAAGCTCTCCCCATTCGAAGGCGGTCTGGCCACGCCACACGCTGGGACAGTCCACTCGGCTGCATGTGGCTTGTCTTAGAGGCCTCTGGTTGGCCACTGTGGGAACAAAGATGCCAGACCAGATACAGCTTTGACCCGATCCAGGAGGGTCCAGGGTGAACCGCTTGTTCCCCAAAAGGATGCCCTGACAGTTGTGTTTTGTAAATGAAAAGCGGCCTCCAGATTTCAGTTTTTGTGCTGGAGTAGGGCACGGATGACTGTGCCCAAACCCTTTCCCCGCTGGCCGTGTCTCTGCTCAAAATCAGAACTGGGTGGCCCCCGTTCTACAAGTAGAGACAGTCGGCAGGGCTCGAGCTGCCAGGAGAAAAAAGCTCCTGCAAAGGCAAGCCCAGAATAAGCCGTCTCCGCTCATTAGCATCTGCAGAAGGTAGTTATTAAGCTGTTATCTAGATAACTTCAAACAAGGCTCCTTTCTCAGTCCCCATCCCACATGCATCCAGCGTAATTTACCTTTCTCCTGTGGGTGAATAATTGAGCGGACTGACCTTTCTCGAATTAAGTATTCAATAGTGAAGGTAAATCACCATCCTAGCTTAACCTGCACAATGAGCTGGGGTTGTATTTGCAATTTGTCTCCATAATCATACAGGGCTGGCTGCTGCTGCATGGCTGAGGCTGGGTCCCATTTATCACTTTAAACGGGATTTCGGCCCCTTTTTTGTTATAAACAGCTTGGCATCCTCAAATTTGCATATTTTCATTACTGCTGGAGGAAGGGATCAATTAAAGCCAAAGAATCCGTGGCAGGATGCTTACTCTCGAGCAGGGGCGGGAGGGGGCGGGCGACGGTGATTATTATTATCCGGACGATGTGCTGACGGGCCGTTTTGCAGCCTCCGCACGCTGTGCAAACCCCGTCTAGACGCAGCGATCCCCAACAGCTCCGTGCTGGGTAGGGAATCCCGGAGCTCTTCTGTCTAAGCCCGTGCAGGATTGCACCCGTAACCCGATTTACCTGCACCTCAATTGTAACCACTTCATGGGGCCCACACCTTTCTGTGGCCAGGTTTACATGGCATGGAAAACAGCCCTGCGCTGTTTCCATGGAATGTGGATTTTTGTCTGAACTGACAGGTCAGGAGACCACGTGGTTCTCTTGAACGCGCGGTTTCTGGGCGGCCTGCTCCTTCTTCCCAGCATCACACGGCACCCTGGCAGTCCCCAGCAGCAGCGTCTCCATCCTTTCCCTGTTATCGCCAGTGGACCACGGCAGCCACTGGCCCACTGCCCCCCGAAGCGGGTCCCCCCTTCCCTCTCCAAGTGCGCCTGCGTGTCTGCAGTGCTTCCCAGCAGCTCCAGTCTCCACTGATTTTTTATTTTAATTAAATGGACATAACCGTGTTGCCATTATCCTCCCGCTCTTCCTTCCATGCATTTTCATGCTGTGTCCCCGTTTCCAAAAGCGCGAGGGCGCATCGGTTGGCCAATGGGAACAAAGCAAGCAACGCTGCATCTGTTGCTGGGACGCTGACAGCAGCAGAGATCAAAAGCTAGCGCTGGCTGCTTTCATGGCTGCTCTTGCCAGGGGACTCTATGGTGAGTACCTGGTGAGGCATGGGAGCCTCAGCGCAGTCCACGGATTTCACCAGGGCTTCCTGTGTCACGTGAACCTGCTCAGTGAGTTGTGCAGAGGGGGGACCGGGACCACTGGGAGGTCCCGTAGCCAACCCTTCAGGAGGGCCAGCTGGAGGGAGTCTGGCTCGCCCCTTCCCTGCCGCAAAAAACACTGCCGGTCGCCCTGGATCAGCCGAGTGGAATGAATGAACACACGCTCTGGCCACATCCAAGAGACGAAAAGCTGCCTGGATGTTTTGTTTTATCACCTCACGCAAGCTGCCTGGAGGATTATTCTATCGCTTAAAATATAAATCATTTAGTTAAATAAATTGGAACACGGAAGCCACATGCTGAACTCAACCCGCATTCTCAGCCCATCTGTTGGAAGTGAGCTGACCTTTAGTGCGAGGCAAAGCAGTGCCCTCCGCATGTTCTGGAGTGAGCCGGGGGGGTGGAGGGGGCGCCCACTGGGAGTTCTGGTCCAACACATCTGGAAGGACCAAGTTGGGGAAAACTGGTCTGCTTTCATCCACACAGAGATGCCAGGATCCCGCTCTTCTTGGTTGCCGCTCCGTCCCGCCCCACACCTCCTTTGGATTCCGAGTGGATTACTGTGAACACCCACTGCCAAAGCTTTTTCTGCATCCAGCAGCGGAGGATCTGGGCTTAGCGGGCTTCAATCCCTCTTACACATAAGGAAGTTTTAAGGCAGCCTCCCCCAAAATCATGCTCTTGGGATGCTTTGGGCTACGGTTCCCATCAGCAAAGTTTGATGGCCCAGTGCTCTGACCTGCCGTAGAGTCTGTCCCGTGGGCTTTCTCGCTTGTTCCCTCACTTTTGAAAAACGGCCAACCCATCCCGACAGCGACCCAGTTAGCTTCTCAGGTAGTTCTTCCTGGAAGTGGAGTGCCCACCTCCTGTGTGATCTTTCGAAACAACTACCTGATAAAGAGGAGCAGGGTGGTATTGCCACTGCTTCTGAAACGCCAAGTGGGAGGGAGGGAGCGAGCGAGCGAGCTCAGCAGCACAAGCCTGCATTAAGGCCGAGGAGGTCAGGGTGGCAGCATCCACCTTTCCTTGGCGAGGGGGCCTGCAAATAGAGCGCAGGTTGAGGTTAAAGCGATGCAGATGTGCAAAGCCCGTGGAAGCAACCCTGCAGGGCGGGGGGGGGGTGAGGAGCCGTGGATGATTTGCTCCCCTTTTTCAGTTCACCTGCTATGTCTGAGTTCCTGAAAGGAAGTGGGCTTTCGTGGAGGTCAGCTCAGCCGCGGAGCCCCTGCATCGCATGCAAAAGCTTCTCCAAGGAGGGCTGGCAAAGGGTCCTGCCTGGACCCTTGGAGGGTGGTGGCTGCCAGCCCGTGTTGACCTACCTGGGCTGCCAGGGTCTGTCTCAGTAAAAGGCAGCCCCTCGGGTTCCTGGGCTTGTGCCTGTTGTTTGCTGCAGCCTTCCTCTCCTCTCCTGCTGTTGGGATGCTGTTGCTCTCCTGGCCTTATCTCTGAGCTGCCTTCCCAAGACGTCCTCTCCACCTGTCAGAGTCATCTGCACAAACCACAGCAATAAAGCACTCGCATCTGCCTTGGGGAATCGCCAGCCGCCCCCTACATTGTCAGCTCTGGGTTGGGGCACTCAAGAAACAGAAGCACGTGCTTTCTGATCAACAGAGCTGGTTTGGAGCAGGCTGATAGAGGGATGCTGTGCCACGACCACCGGCTTGGGAATATATTAACTGGCCGAGTGGCGAAGCGGGGAGTGTCTGGCTTGTGAGCGGTCAGGGAAGTTCTAGGGAGATTTGCAGCCCACATTATTAATGAACGGATCGATCAATGATATAATTAATTGACTACGGCTTTTTCATTGGATGACACCCCTAAAACACCCCCAAGTGGATAGGCTTGTAACTCCTGTGGATTTAATTGCAAGTCTGAGAGGTCCCGAAGCCAGCCCTTGCTAAATCTTGCCGAGGCGTCCCCTTCCCGCCTTCCGCGCCACTTCTTGGCTTCGGATTGAACCGCGACCCTCCAGCATGCCAAGCGCTTGCGGAGCAGCCGAGCTGCACAGCCTCCGCCTCCGCATTATTTTCCTCATTAGTCCAGACTCCCCCCGCCCCCCGCACAATCTTCCATTCTGCACATTAAAAAAGAAATCTTCTGCATCTTTAGACGCAGCCTCATCTGAGCCATCCAAGGTATTGACGAGGGGTGGGGGAGAGACGCTTTGCTTTCTCAGCTCGGGAAACAAGCAGCAAAGGTTCTCTTGTAAGACTAAGGGAAGGTTCCCTCTTGCATCATAAAATCAAACAAATGAAAATATGAATAAGCACGGCTGGGGAACGGCTGGCTTTCTTTACCCTGAAATCTGGCACACCTCTTTTGGTGCACTGCCTTTCTAAGAGAAGCGATTCATGCGGGAGCCGCTGTTTGTGAAGAGCAACGGAGAAGCCATGGCAGCCGTCCAAAGGTACTGCTGGCAGTCCATATTCCTTTAGCATAATTATATCCTTGTGAGGGATAAATCTAGGAGAACCGGTGGGGAAGGACGCCCTGTGTTGGAGAGGGGCAGGGCTGTGTGTGGTGGGGAGCAGGGAGAGATGCCTGGGATCATGCCGGCATTCCCCTTCCCACACCCCAGCTAATTGGTGAGAGCGAAATTCTTTGGTCACCCGGGGATCCTATCGCTGCGGGCCAGATCACGGCTGCTGTTCCCCCCACCCTGAGTGCCCCTCTGTGAATATGGGACTCCTGCAATAGATCCAGGGCTCATATGAGGACCTGAGAAGAGCCAGTGGTTCATTTGGGCCAGGACCCAGATGCTTTCCCCCAGGAGGCAGCCAGATGCTTCTCGGACGTCCACAAGCAGCACAAGACCCGGAAACCCGTTCCATGGAAGGTCGCGCTGTCAGAGCTGCACACCAGATGCGGCTTTCACAGCCTGTTGTTCTGGTCCTTGTCAACGTGCACAGTCGTCCTGTTGTGAGAGCATTTGTTAAAGAGCCGCACACAGAAGTCGCCGTGTGCAGAACCACAAATGGCTCCCCACAGAGTGGGCCCCTCCTGGTCCCGGTCCCAGTCCCCGGTTTTTTATGGACCTTTGGACAAAAAGCACCTTCCATGGGACCCCCACGGGACCCCCTAGACGTCTCACCCCCTGGCTGCCAGCTGCTCCTGCTCCTCGTTTCCCCCCATTATAGGTACTGTTGGCTTGCTTGGCAGGCAGCCAGGGAGCGAGCTGGCAGGAGGCAGTGCTCCACCCAGGCCGGGGGGCCGGGGGGCCAGGGGCCAAGGGGCGGAAAGGAGGGCCAGCCTGGGGCCCTCGTCCACAGGCCCCAGCCTGACCTCTCCTGCCCGTTGCCAGGGACCGTGCTTCTGGACCAGGGCTGATGCTACTTTGGCGGCGTTTCCCCTGATGGGCAGCCGTCTCCAGCCTGTTCTAGCTCCCTCCCTAAAGGAGCCCGTCAGCCGTTCGGGTGCTTCTGGACTGCGCCCTGTCCCCGGGGTGGCACGGTGTCCAGGGCGCCCTTTATCAGCTTAGGCGAGCGCACCCAGCACCTCCTTCGGATGGATGGGGGGGGGGGCCTAGTTCACGTTGGCCGTGCCGCTTGGCCCGATTCCCGTGATGCATCCCACACAGTTGTGCAAAAGCCGGACAGCAGCCGAGCTGAGTTGGGCTGGCTGGTGGGGTCGTATGGAAGCCATGCTCTGCCATCTGCAGTGGCTACCAGCCCGTATCTGCGCCCGATTCGAGGCACTGGCGCTGGCCTTCAAAGCCCTAAGTGGCTTGTGACCAGGGTTGTCTTCTCCCTGGCAGATGAGGTGAGCTGCTAAGAAGAGGCCACTTTGACTGTGGCACCCAAATTGCGGAATGGCTTTCCCAGAGAGGCTTGCTTGGCATTTATACCACATTCCTTCCAGTTTCAGCAGAAGGCATGCTTCTTTTCCCAGGAATGTTAGTCCTTCCGTCCCTTTTGTTTTAAATCCTTTGCTGCATTCTAAATCTTTGTATTAGTGCAAATTTTACTTTGGCTTTTACTTTTATACTGTGGTTTTAAACATAAACTTTTCTAGTGTGTTTTATGTTGTATTTTACAAGCTTAACCATTGTGAACCAGCCAGAGAGCGTCATCTATTTGGCGGTACAGAAATGTGATAAATAGCCAAAACCCTTTGCTTATCCTAATCATCTCACAGTGCCCCTAGAAAAAATCCTCCTTTCTCCAGTGGTCTCTGTACCTTGGCAGGCGCATGGCACGTTTTTGAGAAATTGTGCCCTTTGGACATCAGGTATCTGGAGATACGTGAAGTGAGGCGACAGAAGCACAAACCACAAAATAAATAAGTGAAGCCTCTTCGGAGACCTTTAAAGCAGCTTCTAAATCTAATTGTGTTAACTGTGTGGTGTTAAACCTGCCTAAAGGTGCTTCGAGGCATAGGGAGGGAACGAAATGCAGCCAAAATGCATTGAATTCCTCCCTGTCACGCAAAGGTTAGTGACAGTAATTCTATTGTGACCTTTAAATTACAGCCCTCTCTTCTAAAAGGGATGAGTTTGTTTAGTTCTCCTCCTTAGAAGATTTTATTTGAAACACAGCACATTTTTGGCCTGTTCACTTATGAATCACTGAGGCCCAGGTTTAATGGGATGGCCACTAGCTTCCACACGGTTTGAAAAGGAAGCCCCTGGAAAGAGTCTCCATCTGTCCCAGGCAACTTGGTCAATAATGGGAGCTGTAGTCCAGGAACTTCTGGAGGGTCACAGATTCTCCACCCCTGGTAGAAAGGGTCATGGTTTTAGGAATGACTTTATATCCATCCCCTTCCCCTTCCTCATGCTTAATGTTCCTATATGCCTGCCGATCCTTGGAGATGGGACTAGAAGTGTGTGAGTGAATCCAGGGCTTCTCTAGCTTCTAATGTCTGAAACTTTGGGTCTTTCCAGTTCCTTCGGCTCCCCCAGAAAATGTGTCAGCTGAAGCGGTGAGCTCCACACAGATCCTCTTGACCTGGGCAGCGGTGCCTGAAGCTGAGCAGAACGGGCTCATTCTTGGCTACAAGGTCTGCACCTACCCAAATCTTCTTGATTTCTTCGTGCCCTTCACTCAGGAATATCCTCTCCTGATTCTGTTGCCACCTATACATTGCATTAGGATATTACGGTGTGGAATTCTGCCAGTCGAACGAAGAGAGGGTAAAGCATGTTCCATATAGACAGTGCTATAGAGGATTCCCCATACCTCAAGCAACGGGCTGTCTCCTAAGGAATTTAGGGAGTATCAGCAGAAACGTGGAATCATGAGGACTGTCGGGTGCAATGCCTCCTCGCCTGTTCCACTCAGGGCTTTTCCAAGCGGGTGCTGACGGCTAGAAGATGCCCGATGCCTGGGTGCTGTTTCTTACGGCTGATGCCTGCTAGCTACGGGGCAGGGCATACCGTGGGCGCAGCAATGCGGATGTTTCTCCTGTCAATGTCCGGCTAAGGAGACACAGAAGCTGTGGGGCTGCGAGCAACCAGCAGAGGACCGGGTGCTTGTTTTGGGCAAGAACTGGCGCAGCTGCACAGGGCCGCGGAGTCTGTCCAGAGGTCTGCTGCCCCCTGCACAGGTCTGAGCGGGAACGGCAGCAAAATATTGAGTGGGAGGACGTACCTTCTGCTCAGATGGACCACAGGACAGCTCAGGCCCCTCCCTGTCCTTCACCGTTCCGTAGTGCCGAGATCAGCAACTTGTGTTCCTCCAGCGGTCCTGGCCAACCGTTCCCATCACTCCCAGCCTTTGGCCATGCCAGCTGGGGCTGATGGAAGTCGCGAGGCACAGCAGCTGGAGGACCAAAAGTTGCCTGTCGTTTGAGCTCCACTCCGCAGCTTGGGGCTCGTATTGCTTTGCTTGTTTGCGTTTTGGTATTTTTGCAAATCTCGCAGTCACTGAACAGATCTCTCTTCTTGCCTGAAGGATTCCATTTGGCCACCTAAGGATAGGTCCATATGACCATTGGTGTCCCTGGGTCCTGGTATTTTATTGTTAATCATTTTTAGCACTTTTAATTTGTTTTAAATCTCTATGTTAAATAGCTTATCCTTTCTTTTTATTACATTGTATTTTGGCTTTTACTTTGGTGAACTAACTGCCCAGAGAGCTTAGCGTCTTGGGCCTCAGAGCAATGAAATGACTTTGGTCTTAATATCTAAGACTGCAAAACAACCCAAAGAATTAGGCCTCCTATAAACATTGTTCCTGGAATGCCTTGCTAGTGAAGGGAGCGAGGAGTGGTCCTCTTCCCTTTCCCATGCTCTCTCACCCCTTTTTCCTGCAGGTGTTGTTCAGAGCCAAAGATGCGGAGAGCAAATTAAGCAGTCAGGTCGTGAGAGGGAACCTCAGCCTTTCCGTCCTTTTAGCCGGCTTGCGGAAGTACGTGCTTTACGAGATTCAGGTGCTGGCCTTCACGCGCATCGGGGACGGAGTTCCCAGCTCCCCTCCAGTCCTCGAGCGCACCAAGGATGATGGTGAGTGAGCTTGTGCATCCCTGGAACCTTCTAGTTTGGAAGGAGAACGGCTTTCATTTCGCACACTTTGAAGGAGAATATATTAGCAGCATCTCAGCTTGATTACATTTTTAATCTTAAAGAGCCAGATCCTCACCTAATGTAAACAGGCCCAGTCCCATTAACTTCTAGCTGAGAATCTACTCCCCAAATCTCAGCCTTTTCTCCCCTACCAGTAATTGACAAAAAGACCGTTTCACTCCAAAACCGTATATTTTATAGCCAGTTCCAGCCTGAAGCAAATTTTTACAGCCCAATTATGAACTCCTACAGAAATCCAATCATAGCAATAAAAAAAAGCTACAGCATAATGGGACGTGATAAACAAACCTTGCTGCGACCGAACGTGAGCAAGATGCGGTGTTTCCCATCCCAGGAGGCCTCCTATATCGCAGCCTCGAACAAAAGAATAATAAAATGACCTTTGCAAAAATTAGTGCATCAACATTATTTTGAGCTCCTCTCAAACATTTTCCATAAGCCTGAGAAATTCCCATTTAGAGTTTGACATATCGAAAAGAGTAGGACTTGTTCGGCAGCCTGATTGAAGGGGTATGTGTTCATTAGCCGCACCGGTGTCGAGCTGATGCAAAGCTTTAGGGCTTGTCTCTTGGCTGCTCTGCAGAACCACATGCCTGCTTCTCCCAGTCCGAGAAGAGGTGCTAGTTCAGGGAGCCAGGGCAGAATGTGACCTGCGTGAATTCTGATACCAGCCAACCAGAGCCACACCTCCCAGGCTTCTGTGGGAGGATGACTCTCCGAATGCTGCGATGCATTTCTTGGTGCAAAACACTTATCTGAGGATCAGGCACATTTAGAAATAAATATTTTACAACATGTGTTTAATATATGTCATACATACACTTAAAGACATATACTTAAATATTTGTTTTGTGCAGACATTTAAAAATGCAAATTAATGCAGAAACAGAATGGATTTAGAAAGGATTGTTTGTAACAGTGACTGAGACAGGAAATAAATTCATCTGTTCATCACCAGGCAGGGAAGTGGACTGGAAATGTCATATTTCAGTTTTCAGGAGAACGGGGTTTTGATTGTCAGATTGCAAATACTATGTCCATGGGGATGCACCTTATTTTATTCATTTATTTATCTATTGGACAGTTGGATTTAGATCCCACCCTGTCGTAGAGGCTCAAAGCAGCTTTCAGCAGTTTGTCTAGATGCGATGGTTTTGCCCCAAATCAGCTCAGGGTCTGACTACGCAGTCCAGTGCATGCCTAGGCGGAAGACCAGCAGCTTAAATCGGGGGCATCCTGGGAATGCAGGCATGTTTCTATCCAAATGTGCATAGGATTGCACCCCAAGAAAATCCGATGGCTTGAGGAGAAAAGAGGCCAGATGAAGTGAGAAGGGCATTGTAAACATTAAAACTGTTTGGAAACAAAACACCAAGCCCGCATCACACCAAAATGCCACTCAATATGATTTGCAGGCAGCCTTCTGCTAAGCACTTTCTTATGAATATTGATTTCTTTGTTAAAGAATGAAGTCTGTTTCATTCTTCTGTGGCTAGCCCGAGTGGGCAGAGTCATTTCGGAGGTTAGGCATCATTTCCTGACTGGAGAACGCCACAGTTTGGGTACCCAAGGGCTCAACAGGCAGCGTTTAGCCCGTAAAATTCCCCCTCTTTCCTTAGTAGCCCTTGGAAGAGCCCAGCACCTCTCAGGATCTGGAAGGATTAAGTGGAATCGCTTAGTATCTATACTGTTCATTGGATACAACTGGGATGGATGGAAAACACACACATTATGCAGAATGTAATGAGAGGCTCATTCTCCTTCCTAAACCACTTGTTGACAAAGGGCGCATTGCGCTCCCACCCCTCCCCACCCAACATAAGCCTGCTTGATTCCTTCCTGATCATTTTAATTAAAAGCATCCTTGGTGAAAGTCGTAGAGGGATTTCAGCTTAAGGGGAACATCCGTGTCTGCAGATCTGCAAATTATCTTGAGCTCCCCCTGATGACGTTGAGAGAGGCAATCCGCCTGCCCTCCGGCCGCCTCACAAAATCCACACCTGCTCCCTCTTTGACACTTGAGGCCAAACCGAAGGGCTGGAAATGCATATGTGAAATTATAAGTCAGTTCACCCTGGGAGTTGAGCAGTGTGGTTGGAGAATATTATTCAGCTTTGGCAGCCACGGATTGACACAGAAAATAACCTCTCCCTCTTGGGGTAATTTAACACCTCTCTGGTATATGATGTAGAATATAATAACCAGAGTTATGAAATGTCTTTAAATTCCAGCTGACACACAAGGAGTAGCATGTTCATCCCCTCCGAGGCCAAACCTCATTCGTCAAAACATCATTGTAAATATATTTACTCATCATTGTAAATATATTTACTGGTGCAGTAAACCATCTGTCTGTGATCGCAATATTGCAAGAATTGATTGGGATGTTGACCCTCAAAGATAGCTTGCATTTTATATTAAACAATACCCTTTTGTCTCTTCTCGTCTGCGACCAGTTCGGCAGCATTTAAAAGCTTTCTCCCTGCTCTTACCAAGACTTGTGAGTCCAAGAAACCAGTTGAGGCCCTTTCTGCCTGGGGTTTCTCTCCAGGTCATGCAAAGGGAAGTAGAGACCTCAACCCTCATCAGAAGTCCTTGGGAGTGAACCCTGAGAATGTCAGCAAAGCCTCTTCTTCTCAAAACTGTGTTGGTACCCATAGTTTAGGTCAAAGTGGGATCAGGTACATTGGACCATGCCTCGAGATCCTATTATTTCTCCATCTATCCCAGCAGTGTCTTCTGGAAACAGGTCCCAGGTAGAGAAGGGCCTCTCCCTTCACTTGCTAGCTGATCCTTTTTCAAAAACGGGGGGAGGCAACTAGGGAACCTGGCTAAGCACAGAGAAAACTGGAGACTGGGCATATGTTTACCTTCAGCATTTCAGGGTCTATAACAGCCTTTGGGGCATTTCTTTTGGGTCTGTTTTAGCCCCAGGACCCCCGGTGCGGTTGGTGTTTCCTGAGGTGAGGCTGACGTCTGTGCGCATCGTGTGGCAGCCCCCTGAAGAGCCAAATGGAATTCTTCTTGGTAAGCAAAATTGGTAGATCTGAAAGATTCAGCCAGAAAAGTATCAGCTACCTATCATTTCTAATAACTAGAAGACAATTTGAATAGATGGTCAGGGTATTTAGCACAGCCAAGAAGCCACAGACCACTTCTCAATCTAATTTTCTAGCTATCATGAACCTTCAGAAGCACTCAGGTTTTCCTCTAAAGCTTTCCTGGTGGAAGCGTCTGCAATATTTTTTGCAATTAACCAGGAATCCTAGAAAACCCCTCCCTCGCCCTCCCCTTTCCTAGCCTGCCTTTGTGCTCGCCTTCGAACCACAAACACCCTGCGTGGGACCAAGCACTGCCGGGACAGGACAGGTCACAGGCGCTTCCACCAGGGCCTTGGTGCAATGCCAATGCACGTCTTGGTGAACCGGAGCACCCATGTTGTGTCACCCAGCAAACCAGCTGGAGAAATCCAGGAAGGGGAAGGAGGAACCGGTGTGCGCAGAAGAGGGGGGAAGAAGGGCTGTGTGAGCTTGAACAGGGGGAGCGTTTGGGGAACTCCTCTCGCCAATCCGTGGCGCAGCATCGGTTCTAAAAGCAGCCAGTGCCAGAAGCTGGTGCAGTCTTCACGGTGTGCCATCGCGGTGCCTTAACACGAATGCAGAAGTCGGGTGGGGGTTGCAGGGAAGATGTGTCCTTGCTGCTCCCGATGGCAGCGGTCTTCTCCCAAATTGCCTGTCCTCCCTCAGAACGGCTGCATTAAAAGCACTGCCTGAGGATTCCCCAGGGCATCGCCAGAAAGAGGAGCGAGCGTGAAAGTTCCCCCCGTCTCCCATTTGCTGTGGCCCCAATCCACGTCCATGTCACGTCCCCTGTGCAAACACCCAAGTGCGGGCAGAGTTTGAGCTTCAGAATGAAATCAAGCATCCACAGCACAACGTTGCCAGCAATTGCTGCCCTGGGCTTTAATGGGGCAGGAAAATGTTAATAATGTTTGAACTGCTGCTTAGAAACTTCACCAGCGCAATCAAAGACTGCCTTCTAGGGCAAGCCTGAATAAGGCACACGAGTAATTTTCACCAAACTTTGAAAGAAAGCTGTAGTATGCCTGTTCAAAAGTGGAGTGAAAAGGAGTAAATGTGCCCATTTTGGCACTTTTAAACTTGCTGTGTCTGTGGCGGCTTTTATTGGATTGGTTTGACGTATGGCACACACACGGATCTCATTAAGTAGCTCATGGATATCAAGTTCTGGGTCATTAGCTCAACAGGTATCATTTTTCTAAGCAATAGAAGTTTGAGTGTTACTATGGTAGAATTTTTCCTTTTCTTCCTCCCTCCCTCCACCCCTCCCTCCGCAACTCATCTTGATTAAATTATCAGTTCGGCAGCATTTGAACACAAAAGACTTAAAGGTGTCAAGATAATTTTAACGTTTCATAGTATTTTATGGTGTTGATGACATCTTAGTCCTATAGTGCCTTTTATTGTGTCTTTATTGGTAAGCATTGATATCATTGTGAAGGTTTACTGAGGTGTTTTTGTTGCTTGGCTGTTGTGATTTTAGTGTTGTAATATTTGTTAATTTAATATTATTCATTTGATTGTGTGTATTATTATATCCTGCAACCCACCCAGAGAGGCATTTTGGCTAATAGGGCAGGAGATAAATGTAATTAATAATAGCGATAATAAGTTAATATGGTGGAATCCTATGCATGTGTAGATAAAGGTAAGTCCTACAGCTCCTGATTGGCTGGAATATGCTGTGTATTGCAGGATTAGTTTCATCTCTCCAAGACCCCTCACAGTAGTATCTAATATTAGTCCTATGTAGAATAGGCCAATTGAAATGAATGGGGACTTAACTCTCATTCATTTCTATGGGCCTTTTCTGCATAGGATTAACAATGGCTATTATTCAAAGACTTTCTGATTAATTCTAAGGCAATAATGCTAAGTACTCTCCATTGTAAATCCTGTTAGGATTGTTTGTTTAATCATAGCTAATACCTGTGTGGGCTCTTCTCAAGGAAACCCAGCAAGCCTTTTCACACTGTTCCCACAGTGATACGGGATTCTTTATTTTAAGGCAGTCCTGCTAGTTTGATTTCATGTTAAATAAAGTCTGGGATTGCTAGTTGTCGATGGCATTTCCTCAGATAGGGTGTTGTAGCCCGAAATACTCTGGCGATGGTAATAGGGCCCTCGAGTGTCAGTAGACTGGATCTGAAAGCAGCTGCTCTAGAGTCCTTTACGTAGTGGAAGGACGGATGGACGGAAGGAATTGTTTTGGTCTTGAACCCGGTTATCTGTCACAGGCAGAATCCCTCTGTGTATTCCTTACACTCGAGTTGCTTATATTATCTGAGACAGAACACTGTACTTTGTGGTCTTGCTATCCTGTGAAAGCCAGGAGATAAAATGAGGAATTCATGTGCCAGGGGAATCCCACCTACTTGGAATTCTCTTTGGAAAAAAGCAAAGAAGTAACCTCCCATCCTCAGGGATGCCTCGGGCTTCTTAGGGCGTGAGGGGCTGCGTGTTTAGGCAGGAAAAAGGCCTGTCAGGAGTTGTGTGAGGCATTTTGCTAGCTAGGATTCCACCTGTCCGGAAGTAGCGTTGCCTGCTAGACTGAAGAAGTCTGAGTGGGAGGCTCCACTCCAGCGAGAAAGGGAGGCATTTCTCAACTCGTGTTGTTAACGAAGAATCCCTTCCAGCCGGTGGAGCGTGAAACTCAAAAATCCATGTCTCCATTCTCAAGCCAATCAGTGAAGGGAGAACAAAGCCACCTACAGGCTTTTAGTCTCCCGTCTCGTTATATCATTGCATGAAACATGGCTGTTCCGTGAGGCAACTTTTTTGCAGGATACGGGGCATCAGCAGGTCAGGAAATATTGTCCGTCATACTCATTTGTCAGGGCTGCATTGCTGAGTCCCGCTTGACTGTTGTTATCATTTTGAGATGGCTTTTCCAGCACTGTTATCAATTGTACATGTGCCTTTGTAACGCAGAGCGGGGCTAGGCTGAAAGCACTTCACCAGACGTTTGAGTCTTCAGCCCCCATCATGCCTTGCTGCAGGAGCTTCTGGGACTTGAAGTCCAGAACATCTGGAGAGCCACCATCTGCCCACCCCGATGTAGAAAACGGGAGAGAAATGAAAGAGCTCAAAACTGCAGTAAATTATGTATAACAGACTTCTGCACAGCATTTGAAAACCAAAGCAACAGAAGTCTCATCGTACATGGATTGGCTGCAGTTTGGAACCAAGCTCAAGAAATTTGGAATTGCAGAATCAGGAGAGAATTCGGAAGCTGCTACAACCAATAATGAGGGTCGATCCCTATTCTCCCATGCAAAGCTTTCCACATTTTAAATTTAACAGTTGGGGAGCTTCTGAGGCATGATGGCATTTACATGTAGGCCTGCTGGGGATATTAGGAAGGGACCAGGCAAACCTCTCCAGGGAGGCCATCCCGTAAGTGGGGTGCAACCACTGAGGAAGTACTCTCTGTAGTAGCCACTTCCCCACCTTCCTTTGGCAGGCAGTTCTGGAGGGATGTCTCTGAGGACGACCTCTGGGCTTGAACCTGTGTTTCATGGCGTATTTCCTGACGGCTGCCAGTCAAGTCTAACTCCTGTTTCAGAGAGGGTGACGGTGGATACCTGGCCCTGCTGAATCCTCATTCCAGATCATCAGGCCCACGTGCAGCTCCTCACACTGGGGCCGAAATGGCCTATGGCTTAAGGGTGGGTCTCCCTCTGTTCTGCAAAGGAGATTGCTTTCAGACTAAACCTGCAGCTGAGCTAGCATCCCTCTCTCCCCTGAAGTCTAGCGTGCTTCTGGAAATAACGCTGTGTTAGAAGAACCCCCCTCAAGAACCTGCTTCAGAATTAGACGCAACCCAACTTTGCAAATTGGTGTTTTGATCTCATGTTGCATTCATGTACACCTTCAGCCTTTGAAATGCTAAGTGGTAAAAATCAGCAAACTGCACGGGAACTATTTTAATCTCTCAGCATTATGCTGGATCCCTCCTCCCGGTGCTGCGACAAATTAATACGTGTTTGTATGCTCAGATGCGCGGCAGCTTCCTAGGGCGACTGCTGCTGGTTCTGACGGGCGGTGCTTCGTGGCGATGAGCATAAAAACAGCATTAGTATGCCGCGTGGAGAGCGCAGCTGCTGCCTCGTTGCCTTCGGGGGAAGAGGTGGTCGCCTTCGGGTGACCTCACATTTAATAGACATAGCCAACTGTTGCTGCTTCCTTGGTCCAGACAGCCGCAGCCTCACATTGCACAGGAGTCATTTGAAGCCCACTGCCGTGGGCTCTGGTTCGTCTGGGAATCGGAGCCAGAGCCACTGCTGAAAATCAACAGGGAGGCATTCCATTGTATGACGGGGCGTCCGTCGGTAGACCTGCCCCCGTCGGGGTGGCGACCATCACGCGTGTGGCTGGCTTTCAAAAGAAGGTTCAGGCTGCCACTAGGCGCTGTCCGGAGCTGCTCCTTCCCTCTGGTTCCAGAGCACCAAACTTTCTTCGAAGTGGAGCTCTTCCTCTGAGACTCCACAGATAACGGAGCAGTTCTTGCTCTAGATGGCCTTCTACCCAAGCTGGAAAGAGACGCCTCTGCTCATGTAAAGAGCTGAATGCTAACTGGAAGCTTCCCCATGGTCCCCCCACTTGCAGTAAAGCTTCCGGCTCCACTGTCAGGGCAGCTCCCGCTGCTGGAGAGCAACCCGGCACACATGAGGACACCCACCCTCCAACTGGGCAGCCTGTGTCCTCCAGGACCTCCTCCCTGGGTGAAGCACTGGGTCCCACCCTGCTTCCCCGCTCCCGAAACCGCCCCCCCCCCTTCAAAAGCAGGCTGATCCTCATGCCTGACTTCAGCCGGCATAGTCGAAGGAGCTTCATGGCTCCACCACCCCAGCCTCGTGCCTGCTCGCCTGTTCAGAACCGGGCGATGGCTCCCCCTGGACAGCGTGGGAGAGGCTGGCCATGCTCACAGGCCTCACCAGATGCAGC